ACTTACTAGAAATGTACCTCAGGCCCCACCCCAGACCCACCGAGTCAGAAACTCTGGGAGTGGGGCTCAGCGATCTGTTTGAACAAGCCCTCCAGGTGACTGATCGGCGCTGAGAGCAACTGGAATAGATCAGGAAGGTTGCATGACCACCATTGCCGCCCCCCTGGTAAATCAGGGTGCGGGATTTGACGTTTCAGCTCCGTCTGACCCTGAGCCCCGGAAATCCCAGCCTAGCTGCTTTCCTACATTACCGCCCTGACAAAAAGCAAAAAGCTCAGGAGGTAATAGGCTATATCTTCACAAATGCCAAATCTAAAAACACTGGTGCATAGCAAATGATGGGTCCTAGGTTCAAGGTCAAACGGCATCACCACGTTGAGTTATGACAGCGAGATTGGCGAACCACTCAGTCGTTGTGGTAGCCAGGGTTCTCCAGGGAACTAGAACTAACGGGGTATAGAGAGATAAGTGCAGGTATAAGGGTTTATTATCAGAGTCGGCTCACGTGGTTGTGGGGACCGAGAAGTCCCACCGTCTCCCATCTGTGGCTGGAGAACCCGGGAGCCGCTGGTGTGATTCAGTCCAAGCGCAAAAGCCTGAGAAGCAAGGGAACCTGTCGTGTAAGTCCGGGTCTGAGAGCAGGACAAAAGCGATGGCCCAGCTCAGGCAGGGAGGGCAAACCCTCCCGTCCCCCACCTCTCTGTTGTACGCAGGCCCTCAGCCGAGCGGGCAACGCCTACCTTGCCCACGGCCGCCTGCTTTACCCAGTCTTGCAAACACAGTGCTCATCTCTTGTGAAAACACCCTCACGCGTGTGCCTGGAAATAATAACTGGAAATAATAGCTGGAAAATAACCTTCCAGCTACCTGGGCGTCCCTTGGCCCCGTCAGGGTGACACACAAAATTAACCCTCACACCCCCCATAGAATCCCTTTCTCTCCATCCACCCTCAAGAGTCCTGTCTGTGAATGTTTCCAGGTAGTAACTAGGCTATGCTGGGCCAGATTTCTGATTATCTCTAACCTATTTATTGTTGCTTTCTTTATAATCTTTTTAGTGTGTACTTACTTTGAGAGAGTAGGGAGGGGGTGGAGGTGAAGGGCGGAGAGAGGGAGACAGAGGATCCCAAGCAGGCTCCACACTGTCAGCGTAGAGTCTGATGTGGGGCTCGAACTCACGAACTGTGAGGTCATGCCCTGAGCTGAAACCATGAGTCAGAGGCTTACCTGAGTGACCCACCCAGGCGCCCCAACATTGTCGCTTTCTCACCTGACTTTTGCCCAGTAGCTTGAGAAACTTTTTTCAAATCTCTCTCACTCTCCCCCTGCCATTGTTGGCTCAGACTGGCCTCTCTGGTGACACACAATAGATCTGGAAGTGCACCTGTGATGAGAAGGAACCACCCGATGGTACAAACTTGTAAAAACCCTTCCAGGTTCCCACAGCCCCTCTAGCATCCCAGGAAAGCTTCCCCGCCCCCTCCACCTCTTCCTGCTTTTTCTCATGGTCCGTACAAATCGGAAGCCTATCTTGGAAATCATGTTTTGTTTTGCTGGGCTCCAGTAGATGCAGTCACGTTTCTTGACCATCTGTCCTTTGGACTCCATCATACGTGCTTACGGGACATGGTTGCCCATTCCCGACAGCCCCCAGCAGGAACCTGTGTTTGCAGCTGGCCGGCTGCCTTACTCTGGGTTTCATTCCTCCGGGACCCGGGCAGAAGCCTGCAGAATGTCCTAATCATCACAGTTAAGTGTTTCTAGAATGTGAAGGGATATGTGCTTGGAGGCTGCTGGTCCGGGAACCTGTAATATTTGTTTCTGTGAAGGAACGTGTTCAAAATAAGAACCGAAGGCCCCCGTCTTGGGCCACAGTCTCCTCGTCACTACAAATGTCAGTTGGCTTCATTGAGGCTTAGTTATTACGCTGCCCTATTGTAGAGCCGCACAGGCGTGATCTGCGGACAAGGTCAGACCGTCTGGGGAAGGCCACCCGAGCCCTTCAGGTGCAGCTCTCAGGTCTGGGAATTGCTCGTTGGTGGGACAGCGGGGGCGGGGAGAGGCGGATGTCATCCAGGCGTTCAGATGACATCGCTCTGGTTGGCGCCATAGGCATCCAAAGCTGCACCCTACTGTCAACCTGCTCTGAGTGGAAAGTTCCCATCCCCACACGGCATTGGCTGGTGTCCCCTCCGGTGATGCCACAAAGGACAGCTGGTTTCCCTTGCCTGCCCTTCTTCCATTTCCAGTCTGGTATATGGAATTAAAGCATATTGTTGCTATGTTCCTTGAATAAAATTGTATACTCTTTGTTTTAATGTCCATTATTTGGAGAGAAGGAGACAGTGTGAGCGGGAGAGGGGCAGAGAGAGAGGGAGACACAGGATCCGAAGCAGGCTCCAGGCTCCGAGCTGTCAGCACAGAGCCCGACGTGGGGCTCGAACCCACAGACCATGAGATCATGACCTGAGCCGAAGTTGGACACTTAGGTGACTGAGCCCTCCAGGCGCCCCCTCTTTGTTTTTTTAAAAGAAGCAAGGGACCCCTCTGACTTCCATCCCCCGCTCACCGCCACCAAAAGAAAAAAAACTAACAATGAGTCATTTACCACAGAAACGTACAGCCAGTAAATGGCCATTTTATAAGGCTTTGTAAACTACACAGCACCGTGAATATAAAAATGAACGTAGTTGCACTGATTGACCCAAGACCCGGGAGCCGAATCCCGGGCATCCCGCTTCCCTGCTCTCCCAAGAGCAGAGTTAGCTCTTCGTCCTGTGTGAGGCTCATGCCCCAACCACCACGTTTCTGGACACACCACTTGCTCCCGTGTCTCCTCCCCGAGAAATGGTCCCTGAAATCCCTCAGGGCCAAGCTTCGTTTTTATGGATTTTTTTTTTTTTTTAATCCTTAGTGACCAGCAGAGAACCTAAAATGAAACAACTGCTTTAAAGTAAATAAAAAGAAAGGAGCAAAGGATAAATGTACGGAGGGAGGGAGGAGGGATGGCTGGCTGCACGAGGAAAGTGAACTGAGGTTTGAGTCCACGTTCCTGCCTCTTGTCCCATCTGGCACTCTGTCTCTAACACAGCAGAATGAGTCTCAGGATTTGCATTGACAACAGGAAGCAATGGGGGTTTTCTGCATCGATCACGCAGAGAGCAGGAAGCCGAAGTAATCGCACAACCTGGCTCCGGGTTCAGCTTCAACTTCTCTCTCCGCTCTGACGTCTGGGTCCCCAGAACCACACACCTGCAGACCAGCTGCTGGAAAGGAAAATTTCATATAAAGAAGTAAGTGTGTGTTTGGGGGGTGGGGTGGGGGGTACCTCTCATGAATCTTCTCTCCCTTGATTTATGGTTTTGAGACATTAGGCTTACAGGAGGCGCCTTGTTTAGATTGGACCCGCTTAAGACACAGTTTCATTCAAACTGCCGGAGATCACAGGACTTTCACACCAACATAATGGGGCTCGGCTGTCAATGCCATGAGGTGCCCACACGGAGGAGAGAGAAAGCAAAGCCCCAGGGCTGGAGGTGTTTTCTGGGCCATTACAGGGAGAAGAATAAAGGCTACAGAGCCGCCCTGAGGCCGGGACAGCCGCCAGCCTGCTGGCCCTCCTGACGGCTGTGGGACAGCAACTCATGACGTGAGCACACAGGGGGCCTTGTGTGCAGGGCCCGCGTTAGGCCCACGTTCATGAATAACGGAGCGCGGCGGCTTGAAAGTAAGGGTGGCTTGCTGCCCCCGGACAGAAAGCACGGCCAAGCAACCCAGGAGGGAAAGGGGACGTGCTACGAAAGGCATTCTTTTTGTCCCCAACAACTTCGAAGCTTTGCGCAGACTCATCCCGAAGTAAGGACGGGATGCCACGTGCAGCATTTCAGTGAGTGCGAACATCAGCGCGGGAAGGAGGAAAGGAGGAGACGCCTCATCCTTCCGTCGTGACAGGAGGGGGCCCAGAGAGGGGCAGGACAGTGCACCTCCCCTCGCTTCAACCTGTGGGGGGGCCGGCAGCGCCCCGGAGCCCGAAGATGGGTCTTCCTAGTGAACCAGGTCCTCAGGCTCCCATCTCTCCAAAGAGGAGGATTTGTGGCTGGGAGCGTTGCCCAGAGCCACATCTAGAAGGTTCACAATCACCTAAGGGCTAAAACCTCAGATGAGAGGCGGGCAGGCCCCGGGAGCCACACGGCACGCTCAGGGCTTTCGGAGTCTAGTTTACCTAAGAAAGTAGCTACAACCTGTTTCCCTGCCCAAAAATATGGGCCGTGAGCGAGTGTCAGCAACTGTTGTGAAATGTAAGGTCTCCCGACCAAAATAGGACCTCGAAGCCGGTACGAAGCTGCAAAGTATTTTTTTTTTAATTTTTTTTCTATGTTTATTTTTTGAGAGCGAGAGACAGAGAGCATGAGCTGGAGAGAGGCAGAGAGCGAGGGAGACACAGAATCGGAAGCAGGCTCCAGGCTCTGAGTCATCAGCACAGGGCTCGACGCAGGGCTCGACTTCACAGACTGAGAGATCATGACCTGAGCCGAAGTCGGACGCTCAACCGACTGAGCCACCCAGGTGCATGCCCCAAGCTGAAAAGTATTCTTAAACAGAGTCCACTTTATAACAGTGGCAGGGATCTCTTCCTCTTTTCTTAAAAGACATTTTTGCCATTTGTTCCTCCTCTGGGCCTTACATTGTTATTATGAAAAAACACAAAACACCAAAACACATAGAGAATACACCCATGTTACCTGTTTGCTGCCCAACCTGAACAAATAGAATTCTGTGTTTGCTTATAACTTTAAGAAATTAAATGTCACAGAGAGATGACACTCCCTTTGTGCCTGTTCCCAAGTGACACGTCCCTTCCTCGCCCGGAGGAGACCCCAGCATGACATTGGCTCCGTGATGGTGTGCATTGACTATACACACAGGTATCCTTAGATACTCAGGATATGAATGGATCCATACTGCACATAAATAAGGTGCACAACTTTTTTTTCCATCTCCCATTCTAAGTCTTAAATCTATTAGCATTTAGATTAGTCTATTAGTGAAAACATGTAACTCTAAGTCATCTTCACCTTAACAGAACATAGGCATTATAAGAATATACTCTCCAACTGTTACCAACACTGCTGTGCTAAACGTCCTCATACACGTCTCTGCAGGATATGCCTGAGTTTAACGTACGTTTATGAAAAGAGAAATACTGAGCACGTGTGGTATGCACTTCTAATGGGGCTCAGTATCATCTACTACCCTTCAAAATACACACTTCAACTGACACCCCCATTAGCTGTGTCCCCCTTATGCCCCATCCACATAAACTATCAGACCTTTTAACTTTAATCAGGAAGATGCTATATATTGATATCCTTTTGTTGAATTAAATATTTACTAATCTGCATTTCCTTGGTCATTACTAACCACCTTTTCCCTTCAGGGGACATTCGAGGTTTCTCTTTCATAAATTTCTTGTCCAGAGTCTTCGCCGGTTTTCCTTCATCTGTTGGGTTATGAATCCTTTTCTTAATGATTTCTAGGTCTTTATATATTTTGATTACGTCATTTGTTATCTGTGCTGCAAATGTCTCTCCAAATCTGTCAGCGACACATCGAGTTTTAAAATGTAAACTGAATGGGGCACCTGGGTGCCTCAGTCAGTTAAGTCTGACTCTTGGTTTTGGCTCAGGTCATGATCTCATGGCTTCGTGAGTTTGAGCCCCATGTTGGGCTCTGTGCTGGCAGCGAGAACCTACTTGGGATTCTCTCTCACTTTCTCTGCCCCTCTCCCACTTGTGCTGTCTCTGCATCTCTCAAAATAAATACTCTTAAAATATATATATATATAAATAAGATGTAAACTGAGCGCTCTTTCTGATCTATGAAATAAGTCCGGACCATCCTAAGTCAGGACTATCTTGAAATAAGCCAGGACCATCCCAGGGTCAGAAGAGAATCATTTACACGGCTGTAAAGTCTACAGACATCAACAAAACCACAGTACCGACACAAACATGTAACTTTTATGTTTGGGGAGCACTTTATACTTTTCAAGGCATCTTTTAATCACCTTATTTTTCAGCTTCACAAGAACATAGGAGGGTGTCGGGGACCCACTTTCAAATGTGTAAGATTGAGGAGTTGGTCACCGATGTCCTTCTAATGATCGAAGTCAGCCTCCCTCCTTCCGCTGCAGTGGGGGAGGCCGGGGCTCCGAGGGGCAGAGACGCATCTGCGGTCACAGCCCTACCCTACCCTAAGGGTTCGGGTGGGTTCCATGTCGATTACACCTCAATAAAGCGGGGGGGGCGGGGGAGCGGGGGAGGGACAGGAGGCCCTAAAATCTTAGTCATCTGATCCCCCGGGCAGCGTGTCCCCACCTGAGGGCGGTACATCAGCACGAGGAGACAAGGAGAGGCAGGAGGGAATGAATCTGGGGGGCGGCAGGGCCCCATCACGTGACCTTCTAAAACACGAGGAGAGGACAGCACCCCTCTCGACAGGGCGAAGCCCGTCCCGCGTTTCTGCTCCCGACGCAAGGGCCACGGGAACGTAAGGATGGACTCAAACGATTTTTATTGAGCAGTGGGTGTGGGGTCTGATCCTGCACTCGGTGTGCCGCGTGAGGAAGTGTCGTGGGCGTTCACTGCTAGGGGCAAGCTTCTGTTCCAGAGATTCCCGGGCAGATCCAGGTGCTTTGTTTGTCGCTGTCGTTACTGGCACATGCAAAAACACGGATTTACCCCCAACTCGGATCTCAGACTCTAACGGAACGGGAGTGGCTCATTCTCAGCTCAAACAGCCCAGACAGAAAATACCTGCGGCAGCCGTGAAACTCCCCCCAGATGTGGGCCCCACCGAGGAACCGTGAAGAGACCCCGCCAGTCGGTCATGCAGCCCAGCAATCCAGGCTCCTTCTGTTCAGCAGGCCTTCCTGGAAGCACCTGGCAACACTGCCGTTTCTGGGGACGCCGGCTTCCGGCATGACTCATAGGAGGGTGCCTTCCCCGTGCCCTCAAACTAGATACACCTGAGCTAATTGTACAACTGTCCTCTAGTTTAACTCCCCGGTTTTGGCTTTTCAATTAGGAGACAATCTTAGACAAATGCAATCCGAATATCAATGAGTTCACCTCCTGCCTACAGTGTGGAATTCGTTGTTTCTAGCACTACAGGAATAGATTCCTTCACTGCCCTGGACAGGGAGCCTGATTCCCACCCGGTTCAAAGCACTCCGACAACTCCTGAAACGTAACAGATGTCCCGTAAGTGGCTGCAAAATGCACGAATCGGTGGTTGTGAATACCCACTGGGCGCTGGCGACCTCTTCTGCCGACTTCAGAGCTTCAAAGGAGTGAGCAAAATTCAGGGTAGGAGAAGGTTTCAGTCGGCAACAGCAGGAACAGAGGACACCTCATCCCTAAAGTCGGCTAACGGCGCTCCGTGCCAGGAACAACTCCTGGAACACGTCGCCTGTCGTAGAGATCCACTGACAGCACCCAAGCGCTACAGCCTATATACGCTCTGCAAGCGTCTTATCCCCACATAAGCTTTTTCAGAGTTGGGACCTGAAAAGGTCCCAAGAAGCACTGTGCTGGTTGTGGGGAATAAACGGCCCGAGCCCTTCCCCGACCAAGATCCGTGTAGAGCCCCGAGTGACGGGTGTACCTGGGCACAGGTGGGCCCTGGAAAGTGGCAACCGCAGCTCCAGAAAAGAGCATCCAAGCGGCAGGATATCACCAAAGCAGCTGTCCCAGGCCACAGGGTCGGGACCTGACCCTGACCTCCGTAGCTCAGGCTCCTCCCTCCGGATGCCCAGGGCCACCCCGGTGCCCGGCTCCGCCCGGCCCTCCCCTGCGCTCCCTGCAGAGCCCTTCCTGAGAGCGCCGGATGGCCGGGACCAGGCAGGGCCTTCTCAGTGCCTTGGCAACACTGTCCAGGAGTCTGCAGAGAAGACAAAGCAGGCCAGCCGGCACGGCCCCCGGGAGCATTGCTCTATCTACAGCAGTGGAACGGCCGCAGACGAGGCAGGGCCGAGTGGCCCAGCGCTGGGCTTGGAGAGGCCAGGGGGCCCCCAGCCGGCTCCTGCCTCGCGCGCCTGCAGCTCAGTTGTAGGAAAGGTAATCGATGAGCCGGGGAGGGATGTTCAACTTGCTGATTTTCTCCAGTCCTCGGACGCCAGTGGCCTTCCGCAAGCTCACCCTGCAGAGCTGTGCCAGGGACAGAGGGGTTTCTGAAAGGGAACAGGAAGCACATGAGGTCAGCCTAAGGAAATAGCATAACATCCTTCAACTTAGCAAATACCGAGGTGGAACCGGAAATAGGCCAGCCCTGCATGCTTTCCCTGGATGGCTACCAGGACAGACGGACGGGACCTAGGAAGGAAGATCAGGAAATGGGATACGGGTGATGTGCGCTGGGGTTTCATTTTGCGGGATTCTGGGGAGGTTTTTCCTCTTTTCTATAAAGTCGTAAGTTGACACACAGATTTGTCAGCCAAGGACTAATCTAAGGCTAGTAGGCTCGTTTCTCAAACTTGCGGACAATTGAGGGCCAGGGCAAGGGCTAGGGCTGGGCAGGGGCCTGGCCGCCGGCTCCTGTGGGTCCAGGCTCTCAGTACCGTGTGCGACAGGGCCAAGGCGCCCGACGAGAAGTGGCACGCGTCACAAAACTGCTCCGGCTGACACCGTCTGCGCATGCACATCCCAGTGCTGAGGGTCCGGCCTTCAGGACCAGAGACAAAGCCTGCCGCTAGGAGGCCAGCACACCAGGGCCAAAGATGGAAAGTACCTGGAGGCCCCTGGAGCTGAGGTGCCAGAACATGTGCAGAGTCTGGCCTCACAACTGCCTTTTGGAACGATTTGATTCTTTTTTTTTTAATTTTTTAAAAATCTTTTTCAGGGGCGCCTGGGTGGCGCAGTCGGTTAAGCGTCCGATTTCAGCCAGGTCACGATCTCGCGTTCCGTGAGTTCGAGCCCCACGTCGGGCTCTGGGCTGATGGCTCAGAGCCTGGAGCCTGTTTCCGATTCTGTGTCTCCCTCTCTCTCTGCCCCTCCGCCGTTCATGCTCTGTCTCTCTCTGTCCCGAAAATAAATAAACGTTGAAAAAAAAAATTAAAAAAAATAAAATAAAAATCTTTTTCATGTTTATTTTTGAAAGAGAAAGAGAGAGAGAATGTGTGTGCAAGCAGGGGAGGGGCAGGGAGAGAGGGGGACAGAATAAGAAGCAGGCTCCAGGCTCTGAGCTGTCAGCCCAGAGCCTGATGCAGGGCTCGAGCCCACAGACTGTGAGATCATGACCTGAGCTGAAGTCCGCTTAACGGACTGAGCCACCCAGGTGCCCCTGGAACAATTCGATTCTTTACAACCAAGTAGAGGGGTGCCTGGATGGCTCAGCCCATTAAGTGTCCGACTCTTGATTTCGGCTCAGGTCATGATCTCACGGTCATGAGATCAAGCCCCACACTGGGTTCCACGCTGAGCAGTGGAGCCTACGTGGGATTCTCTCTCTTTCCCCCTCACTCTGCCCCTCCCCTCCGCTCGCTCGCTCTCAAAATAAATAAACTTAAAAAAAATATTTAAAAATCCCCCATGTTTGATGCAAATATCTGCTTGATAAAAATATAAATAAGCCAAACACGATATTCTCAACTTCTGCAGATTCATGAAATAAGTTCTTTGAGAGAGAAAAAACAAGTCCTGGAGAAATTCATTTTCCCATGTTCCTTTATCTCCAGATAATTTGGATGCAGGAAAACTGTCTTCCAGGAAATATTTGACAGATGTGGATGGTATTTGCCTCTAAATTCTTTTGGAGTTTGGTTGGGTGGGGCCGACAAAAATTTGAATAAATCATTCACCACCACCACCCCCCGCCCCATAAGCAAGAGGTGTTTGAAAGCCTCATGTGGTTGTAAGGCGGTGTGAACTCATTTAAAAATCTGTACCCAGAGAAGTCTTGTCCTTTTTCCTGATCACTTGTCCCTTGTCCCCGGAAGGGCGAGCGAGGGCTGCTCACAGGGATCGGGACAGCTGACTGCCTTGTACAGGGCTGGACAGACCATCTGGGACAAAGTTTCCTGCACAGCGGACTCGTGCAATTCCAAACAAGCAAGCACCACTCAAACAACAACAACAGGAAAGTGAGTTCTACTCACTTTCGTAGAACTCGAGGCGCTTGGCGGGTGCGCTGCTACTCCACGTGTAGTCAGACGGCTTCTTGCCCCGGTTGTCTCGCGCGTAGATGTTGCCTCCGAACTCGACGAGCATCTCAATGAGGTCGACGTTCTTCACCTTGGCTGCGTGATGCAGGGCTGTCTCGTGAAGCTTCGCTGCGTTCACATTGGCCCCTGTGGGTCCAAAGCGAGGAACGGTATCACCGAGGAGGGTACGCGCAGCCAGGAGAAACCCCGACCGGTACCTTCTTGTTCAGCACAGTGCACAGAAGCGATCCCACAGGAGAGAAAATCTAGACGGGCTCTGCCACAGCCTTTTCAAAATCTTTTTGTCTACAAGACCATGGAGCCTTCCACCTGTCTTCTTTTTCTTAATATTTGTTTATTATTTATTTTCAGAGAGAGGTGTGCCCAGGGGGCTCAGTTGATTGAACATCTGACTCCAGCTCAGGCCATGATCTCCTGGTTCATGGGTTCGAGCCCTGCATCGGGCTCTGTGCTGACAGCTCAGAGCCTGGAGCCTGCTTCAGATTCTGGGTCTCCCTCTCTCTCTCTGTCTGCTCCTCTCCCGATTGTGCTTGCTCTCTCTCTCTCAAAAATGAATAAACACTAAAAAAGAATTTTGAGTGAGAGTGCATGCACATGGAGGGGAGGGCAGAGAGAGAGTAAAAGAGAATCCCAAGCAGGCTCCATGCCGTTAGTGCAGAGCCAGACTCAGGGACTCCATCCCACGAACCGTGAGCTCATGACTGAGCCGAAGTCCAGAGTTGGACACTTAACTGACTGAGCCACCCAGGCGCCCCACTCAAAATCATTTTCAAGATCCAAATGTGGTAATTAACGTTTTTTCTTATGGCAAGAGAGCTAAATACAGATCGCAGTAAGAAAGTAATATAATTGGAAACAGAAGCAAAAAGAAGAAAAATAAAACAGAAAACTCCCCTGTGAGTCAGAAGCAGTTCTTTTTTTTTTTTTTTTCCAACGTTTATTTATTTTTGGGACAGAGAGAGACAGAGCATGAACGGGGGAGGGGCAGAGAGAGAGGGAGACACAGAATCGGAAGCAGGCTCCAGGCTCCGAGCCATCAGCCCAGAGCCCGATGCGGGGCTCGAACTCCTGGACCGCGAGATCGTGACCTGGCTGAAGTCGGACGCTTAACCGACTGCGCCACCCATGCGCCCCCAGAAGCAGTTCTAAGACCCTATGTAGTCCGTCCCCACTGGTCCTGAGGCTCTCTGATGGTTCCCACACGCGCACGACGGGTGCAGGGCAGGGGTGCTAACAACATGTGCTGCATGAATGGATGAAAAGTCCTTAAACATAAACATCTTTCACAAAAGAGAAGCTCAAAGGGAAAATAGGTAATGTTCCCCAAACATTGTCCACCAGTTCAGGTAAGAGATGAGGTGTCTCACTTGTGAATCCATCTGTTTTGGGGACAATAGTAGACACCCAGAAAGAGGTGAACAAGTAGTAGCTAATTCCAGTAGTTTTAGATGCTTTAAAAAGTAAAGATTTTGCTAAAACTATGATTTGTGTAAGGCGTCATTCTTAGGGCACGGCCACCACCAATTCTATGCAAGGGGATCTCCTACAGCCTTGGAATTTTTTTTTAAGAAAATACCAACCTCTTTGAAGTCTGCACCTAATGGATAAGGAGGTTATAAGAGAAAGGGGGGGTAGGAGAAAAGCATTTTATTTTATTTTATTTTATTAAATATTTATTCTGGGGACAACATGAGCAGGAACACAGAGAAAGTAGGACAGAGGATCCGAAACAGGCTCCAGCCTCCCAACTGTCAGCACAGAGCCCAATGTGAGGCTCAAACTCACAAATGGAGATCATGGCCTGAGCCAAAGTCAGACGCTTAACCAACTGAGCCACCCAGGTGGCCAGAAGAAAAGAATTTTAAAGAAGCCAAGCAAAGAGTCCAGCATCACTGAAGCTATCCCCCCAAAATAGATTCAAGTCACAGTCACAAAATATCAGCAAAGTGGGGTTTAAAGAAATCATATCACCAGCCTGTCTCCATGTAATGATAAATTTAGAGGCCGAAAACAGGAAATAAGGGGTGTAAGGCTATTAGATTTCCTGTCCCACTGAAAATAGTGGGTAATTCGGATTTCTGACTTAAAATAGTTTTAATCCCCTGGTAGACATAAAAACTGTGTACATACACAGAGGCCATCGCGTGACCCTAAGAACACAGCAAGCACCGCAATGAGACAATACAAGTAATGCTCTCCAATGCCCACAGCCCAAACTCCCAAGTCAGGTCCGGGAAAAAAAAAAAATCCCTCAGTTAGAAGACTACATTACCTAGCTATTGAATTCAACAGCTATGCATGGTAAAAATAGTACTAAAGAGCAATCCGTTCAAAAACATCCCCGCACCGTGCACCCGCTCCACCACCTGAGGGCGCTCTTCCAACACCTGCCCGGTAGAATACAGACTCGCATAGTTCCGCGGGTCATAAAGCAAAGGCAGGTCTGGACGCTAGACGCAAACTTGCAACGAAAAATAAACTGTAAAGTCTAACGATCTGAAGTGCAGGTAGCTGTCTCGCAGGTCATTAATTGTCACAATAATCTTGCCAAGTGGGGAGGAAAGAGACTGTCTCTACTTATAGCAAGAGAGAAGGGGGCCCAGGCGGTCAAGCTCCTCTCAAGGTCAAGGAGAACACTATGGCTAGGGGTGGCTGTACAACTCACACCTCCCTTCCATCCCGCTTCCTAGGGCTTCTCACGATTCCAGGCCTCGCCTCAGAAGGTGACTCTTTCCACCAGGTGGCGTACCAAGGTACACAACAGGACCTTTTTACACCGTGCGCTGGGCTCCCTTGGACGGGAGACTAGGAGGGGTCCGGCATGCTCTGCAGCTGGGAGCCACACCCCTGGGCAAACAGAGTACATGGGGGTGGGGGGGCTTGAGACTACAGAGCAGGACAAAAAACAGCAAAAAGGCAAACTCTGTAACACAGCACCACTTAGGTCGATTAAAAATACATGCCCCAACCCGTAACGAGTGTCTTACAAAAACACAGATGAAGCACATACACATACATGTTAGAATGGGGGCTGGGGGGCAGGGTAGAGGAAAGAGGGGAGGGGAAGAGGGTGGCTTCGTGG